GAATAAAAAAGAAGATCAGAAACTGTTTGCTTGAATGGCCAAAGGAAGATGTGAAGAATGGTGATAAGAAATGAGACATAACTGTCGTTCACTGTATTTCTTTTTCTCTTCCAGTTTCCTTCCTACTGCATCCTTAAACCTATGTTTGTACTAAGAATAAAACAGTAACAACAACAACAGTTTCAAAATACAAAATTTCTTTTTTTTTTTCTTTAAATTGTACTTATATTTCCCAAAATTTATATCTGCAATTCTGGTCATGCTTTTTCTTTCAAATGGCACTTTTTGTTTTCATTTATAAGGTGGTAATTTCAAAGTTGCTCATTTCAAACATCAATATTTCTTCAAATTTTTTATCTTGTTTATTTTTTCAATTTCTCTAATTTTTCTATCTTTCCTTTTGCACTTTTTTCTTTGTTTTGTTATTCGATTAGCAATAAGATGAATGTTGAAGTAAACGGCACAAAATTATTATTACAAGTTGTGATTCCTCTTCAGTGAAATGAAAATATTTCTTGTTGTTATTGAAGATACTGTATGTTTTAGATGGTGTATTACGATTGAAAGACTGACTAAATGATACAAAAGTTTTGTTCAGATGGTGCACAAATAGACAAAAAAACTGTAAATGCAAATTTTTTTTATTAAATCTTTTAACATCTTCTTATCAGTCTTCCTTTCCTTCTTTTTTTTTTTTTAAACAAATAACACCAGCAAGTACAGTGCGGTAAGATTACAGATGGAATTTTGAAATGGGAAACGACGGTGTGGGATAAAAGGTGGAGCGATAGAGCTGGATAATAAAGTTCCAAAAAAAACCATTTTACACTGCACAAAAAAAAATTTAAATTCTTATCAAACAATTTTTTATTTAAAAACAAAACAAAAAATGAACAGAGGAGAAAAATGAAATTATTTGAATTATTTTACTGAGAAAAAAACTTTTTAGACCAATAGGCTTATCGTTTTGGTGTTTACCGTAAATCACACAGTGTCAATCGGTGAGGAAAAAAATGCAGAAGGAAAAAAATGAAGAAGGAAGAAGGATGGCACAAGTAAATAAACCGAATAAATATTACAAAATAAGAAATAAAAAATAAAAAGTGAAAAAAAAAGTGAAAAAAAATCAAAAAAATAAAAATAAAAATAAACTTGAGGAAAAGAAACAATATTCTCTATCGATCTTAGCAAAATGTCAGCTGCGCTTGAAGTACTTTATTATAAATTAACGACTGGTCGTAACAACATTCCTAATACTTAGAATGGTATGCAAGGATCTCTAGTCCGCGTCTCAAACGTGCCCAAACTGTCTCGGAGCTCAATATTACCAGCATCAAACCGCCTGTTCTCATATTTTGATGGAATCGGTAGATAATCCACTTTGTAACAATCCTAAACAGTACAGTAATAGACCATTATCATTTAAAACACTATCTGCTGGCCGTATTTTCAATCTTATTCTTTTTTTTTTTTCTATTCCAATATAAATAGTCAACAGTGTGTTGATCGGGTAAACCAGTATTGTAAAAGCAACAAAATCTCTTTTAGCCTTTTCTTGACAAAACTGATAGCAAGATAAGAATAAGAAGAAAGGAAAAAATTGGAAAGCATTATCGTCTAGATTAACAGCAATTACCTTCAGTGGTGAACGATAGCAATGATGGAGTATTTTAAGTGCTACCGGTGAACCGTGTCGTTCAACAGCGCGAACATAAAAGATACCCTTACGGTTGTTAACTTCCTCAAATCCAGCAGCTAATGATATTGGTGCTACAAATAAACAGTTAGTAAGTTTTATTTTTGTATATCAGATTTACATTTATTATAAAAATAGATTTTTTTTTCTTCGTTTGTTATTACAATATATTATATATTTGTATATATATTATATATTTGTTATTATATATATCTCTTCATTTGCTTTTTTTTTTTTTTCTGTTTTGTTGAACTGTTTTAAGCAGAGAAAAATAAATAACAAAAGAAAAAATTAGTGCAAAATTTACCAACAAATTATATTTGAACAAAAAAAAAAAAGCAGAAAAGTATTTTCTGCTTTTATTTCCTTTGTTATTGTTTTTTCCTATTTATCACGCTAATTTATAAAGCAAAAAAAAAAAAAAAAAAAAAAAAAAAAAA